AGGGTGAGGTGGGGGTGTGGGGGGGGTGGTGTTTGCCACACAAGCCTTCTATGTCTCTCATTCTCAATTATGAGTCTGCAGCCATCAATACCACTGCAAAAGAAGCTTTCTTGCCCATAGCAGCCAAAGGCAGCAAGGATCACTGATTTCCACATGGTTTCTGAGGGTAGCATGGAACAAGGGCCATCAGCAGCAGCACAGATAATGGACAGCAACATGGCCCTTGGGGGCAGCACAGACCATGGACATCCACTTGTCCTTTGTGGTAACACAGACCATGAACATCAACATGGTCTTAGGCAGTGGCCCCACATTGCCTGAGGCCATGTTGATACTTGTGGTTGCTGTTATCACTAGAGCCCACGTTGGAGTCTGTGCTCTGTACAGTCACTGGAGGCCATGTTTGTGTTCATGGTCTGTGCTGCCACCTGAAACCATGTTGATGTTTATGGTCTGTTCTAGTGCTTAAGGCAAGGTCAATGCCAGTGGTCCACGTTGCCACAAGCATCTGGGAGATTCTTTTTCCAATAGGATGACTGCCTGCTGTAGTCTGAATTTGACAAATGGTTAGATGGTTCATATCTACTACCTGGTTAACATCATCAAGATATTTTGACTCATACTCATTGGTGTAGAAGAGAGAAGGCAGATATACACACTGAAATCCTCCCAAATAGACAAAAGACAGAACCTCTTGATTTGATAACACCTTATACTGTCACTTTTTTGTTTTATTTTGTTTTTCGAGACAGGGTTTCTCTGTGGCTTTGGAGGCTGTCCTGGAACTAGCTCATGTAGACCAGGCTGGTCTCGAACCCACAGAGATCCACCTGCCTCTGCCTCCCGAGTGCTGGGATTAAAGGCGTGTGTCACCAACGCCCGGCCACTTATTTATCTTTAATCTAAGGCTATATACTACCTGAAACAATAAAAGGTCATGAGATTTAGGTTTTCTTCAAAATGGCTACTGTTTTCACTTAATTTATATCTATAAGCAATAGTACTACTGGCTTTTCTATAAAGTATCAGCATCATGTAATATGGACTCAGCTTTTTAAAAATTATCTCCGCGCGCGCGCGAGCGTGTGTGTGTGTGTGTGTGTGTGTGTGTGCGCGCGGGCGCGCGCGCGCGCGAGCGTGCAAGTGTGCATTTGTGCCTGTGAAGTGTACACACATGTGTGAATGCGTGCATTCGTGCCTGCCTGTGAAAGTCAAGAGGTCCATGTCTGGTGTCATCCTCAATAATATTCTACCTTGGTTCTTGAGACAGGGTCTCTCATTCAAAATGGAGAACCCCAATATCCTGCTGTATGTGCCCTCCCACACCAATGCTAGTATGGCAGGGGGTCCAGGTTTTTATGTGTGTCCTCATGTGTGTGTACAGTAAGCACTTTACAAACTGACCTCCCAAGCTGCTGGGCACCATTTTAATGTATATATGACGTTAAAAAGAAATTGAATTTCCTCTGGTATTTTTCTATTTTTGTTACATTTATTTCACTATTTAATTACAGGTAAAGAAGTCACTGTGCCAGGAAAGATACACATACAGTGAAAAAGGGAACAGATCCATAGAGTATAGAAAGACAAGCCCCATTATAGACAAAAGCAGTATGTCTGGACAGTCTATCACACAGGGAAATGAAAATGTTAAAAAGATAGAAAGGAGAACATGAAAATTTTAGGCTTGAAAATAATCACTCACAATTTTGTTTCATTTCCACTATCTCCTAAGTTACCTTTCTTGAAATAAAACTAAAATACACAGTTAGCTCAAATGTAGAGTCTGAGGATCACCCTGAATTTGGAATGGAAACATCTAGCAGGAAAAACTAAACCTACCATTTTACAAATGAAAAATCAGAAACTCCAGAGAATACACACCACCAGGTTTATTGGCACGTGCCTGCAATACCAGCACTTGGGAAGTGGAGAACGGAGAATCAGGTATTAGGGGGACAACCTTGGATATATAGGGAGGGCGAGACTACCCCAGACTATATAAAGCTCATGTCTCAAGAAACAAGCAAAGAATACAAAAGTCAAAGAAATAGCC